CATTAAATCGTCCTCCTCCCATTTTCACCTCAAAATTTTGGGGAAGCTGTGCCTCCCCTGCCTCCCCCGACGAGCCGCCACTTGTAGATAGCTTCACTAATTTTAACGGGAGTGTTTTTTAAAGTGCATAAACTCACGCTAGACTGAAGTCAGTGATGATGTTCTTTGATAATGTGAATTATTTGTTCATTTTCTGTAACGTAGCTGCTGTTTGAATAACTGAGGTAACTTAAAGGTGCAATAGGTGATTGTCTTCAGAAACATTTTTTGTTATGCTGGTTGAAAGTCTCTTCACATCCCGATAGCAATCATTAAGTTAAGTGGTCTAAATGTATTTGTCTGTATTTATATATTCTGTGGAAGGTGTAGGATCAAGAAATGTTCGTCTAATCAAAACGTTCGGTCCGAGTGTTTTAATATGCTTTCCTACCTGTCTGTCAACGTATGTATTAGCATACCTCTGCGCACCCAGTTCGCGCAGACAGGATACTCATCAGCGCGTTCACGCACGCTGTGCAGACAGAGCGAGGATGGCAGGCAAACATCAACAAGCCGATCTTCCTTCCTGGTATTGTAGTACTTTTAAAGATTTCTCACCGGTGAATGACACATGATGTAGCCCAGCGGTTAATCCAGTCCTCGCGCCAGCTCGTTAGAAGTGAGCTACGTGCATGAACTGTGTTCCGATCGATATGATCCCTACACAGAGTTCATTGCTCCCTACTCCCTGAGCAGGGGAAATCCGTTGAAGTTTACTTCACTTCGGAACATGGGCTGGAATTGGGAACCTGATGTAGCCTATTGTAGTAATGTTGTCTCTGGTCTGAGTGTAAATGCATTCAGGGGGCGTGGCTTTGGACGGCGATTGCAGGAAGGGTGGGAGGTTCGCTTTCAGTGCTATCAGGCTAAAGTTAGCATTTTCCAAGATCTCCTATTGTACCTTTAATCACAAGCTTGTTAATTATTCCTGAATAATTCTTACTTACTTCAGGCTTCAAAATTTGGCAGCACTGTTTGAAGTTGAAGTTTTAGGTTTCCTGAACAACATTTACAAAATTCACTGTATAAGTTACTGTTAGATCTTTTGCTCCAACTGCTGGTTAATCAGGTGATAGAAGAGAAATAAGTTCCAATAGACTAGCAATTGAAGTTATGGTAGGAATGTAAATCAGATATAAAGTGGCACAGTATTTGAATGCATGAGTGCCAGTGACTTCTCAGAATTGTGAGATAAAAAGTTGCAATTGTCAAATTCTGCCAGGAAAAATGTCAGCTCACAATTCTTACATTTTCTTGCAACTGTTTATACATTACAATTCTGAGGAAAGGGGGAAAGAATTGAGAATTATATCAGGGTGTCTACAGACCTTTTTAATACCACCTTTTGTGAAATTTAAGCTGTGATGGAATAACCTGTGATGGAAATACACATTATATTACATGCATGTGTGATATTTAATGCATTTAATGTGAAAAGAAAAGAAAATATCCTCCTGAGACCTAAGCATAACATTCTGTCCACTGTAGTAGACATCAAGACTTACTGTCACGGAATGCCAGGAGAGACAAGGTAAGTTCCAAGTGCAGTTTATTGAAAGTAACAAATAATCAAAAACAGAAATGAAAACGTGGCAAAAGGTAATCCAACACAAGGGACAGATAACACTGTGAACTATGAACAGCAATCGAAGAACAGACAAGGGAATGACAAATACAATATAGCCGCAATGACAGACAGAGTGAGCATGGTATATATAGATGGGATAATGAGTGAATGACTAACAGGTGAAAATGATCGGAACTGATAACCAGGTGCTCATGATCAGACAGAATGACAAGCAAGGGACTATGGGAA